CTTTGTGATGTAGATGAAGTTGGATAAATGTTCATAAATTCAAATCTACCTAAGAGTGAATTATTTAATTCATTTTTGGTGCTTTGGATTAATGATATGTTTAGTGCTTTAATCCATCTAGAGGAGTGGTTGAATTTAAAGATGAAAGAATTTTGAAATGGTGATCCAAATTAGCTTATCATTCCCCTCCCTCTTCATCTTATCCCTTTCTTTTTTAATTGTACTACATGTTAAGGGATGGTGATCTCTATATCATTTATCCAAACATGAAGTACATAGATTGCTATTTACCGGCCTCAAAATATGTGTGATTTCTACATAAGTCCACTTACGATTGCTTAACATAGCGCTAAATTTTGTCCCGATTCGAATAAATGATCATTCGTGGCCCAAACTTATGATTGCAAGCCCAAGTATGTTAATTTGATGTATTTGATCCAATAACCTTGAGATTCATTTTGTGGAGGCTTTGGTTCTACCAATCCTCTAATGGATCTACAACACCTTTGGTCAACGCGGATCACTTAAACATCGTTGATCATTACATGTTGCCTTGTGAGAATTCCAAAATGGATGATATACTTGATAAAAAGAAAATGCAACTTGTTGTGTGGAGGCTTTGGTTCTACCAATCCTCTAATGAGTTCCAAATGCAAGTTTCAAGATGGTCATCCAACTAACCACTAATTACTAACAATTAACTTTACTTTACGCTTTTATTTTCATGCTTTATGTACCATTTACTTTTAGCATTTTACATTTCATGCTATTTTCATCTTTGCTCACTTGAGCATTTACTTTTATGTCATTTTTATTTTGCTCACTTGAGATTTTATTTATTTTTAAAGACACCTAATAATCAACATGAACCATAAAAATCATTAATGATACTTGGACTACATGGTTACTATCCTTTGCATTATGGAGTGATGGACTTATTGGACTTAGGATTAGAGACCTTGGCCTATCTTGGAGACTTTGTGACTTTATTTGATATTTTGTCTGGAGTTCTTGAGGTTTACCTCAAGACATTGGGTTGTTTGTTTATTTTGTGTACAGGTTATTAAGATTACGATCTTTGTTTGTAATCTGGAATTCACCCGTATACAGCCGTTACTCTGCCCAATTTTTGCGAAGACTTAAAACACTTGAAGTTTGATTCTCTCAAGAGGTCTAGTATCTTTGCTTTCTTGGTTTCAATCCGAAGAATGGGAATTCTATATTGACTCATAATGTCAAGTATTGGCTTCTTGTTGGTTAGATGGTTCTTATCCCTAGATTTTACCTTATGCTTTAGGATAGCCTCTTCTTCTCCTCCCATCTTCTTTAATTTCAAAAAATTTCTCCCTCCTTTAAAAAAAACTCTTCTTGTTTTGAAACTTGAAACATTTTCATAATAAACTTGGACTTAGGTCCATGCATCTTAGAAACATTTTCATAAATAAATTTCAATCAATTTAATAATACCTTGACCTTTTTTTTGTGAGAAGACTAAAAGTCAATCAATCTCATTTCAAACCATTTTGCCACTTTGGCTTTTATCTTTAAACTTTTCTCAAAAGATTAGACTCTTGTTAATCCTTGTAGTGATGCAAACAACTATACTTCTACAATATGTAGTGAAGTGAGATATTTTCCACTTGGGTGTTGAGTGGGGCATTGTTGATTTTAAAATCCAAGCCATATCCTCCACTTTGAGATGATGCAAATTCTCCTTTCTCATGATTGTGGGTAGTAAGTATGTTTTTCACACGGACAATTGCGATGATGTCTTATCTCATAAAATCAACCAACACACTTGTGTTTCAAATTTTTAAAAGAGGAACTACGTGTCCCCTGATCCCCTATTGCACGAAAGGTGGTACGTAGACACTAAAGATTCGCAACCGCGGCGGGTGCAAAAATCATAAAAATATTTCTTTTCTCACCTCCACCATCCATTTTATATACAACACATTTTTATAGCCAAAATATACAGATTTTTTCAAAGAGGTTCCTGCGGAGTACCGTAGATGTTTAGGGTGCTAATACCTTCCCTTTGCATAACCAACCCCCTTACCTTGAATCTTTCCCCCTCTTTTTGGGTTATTCTCTCTTTTCTCATTCCTTTGGAAACAATAAAGCGCGGTGGCGATTTTTATTTTGATTTGTATAAAGTCTAGTCAATCCAATAGCTTAGTTTTACACATTTCTACCGCCACAATTGGTCTTTTTGGCCAAAAAATAGATTGAAAAAATCTAAGTTGGAGACATTTCGACGGAGGAGCCTATTGGAGTTGGTCATGTCGAAACCATGCTAAGAGGAGAAGGAACACTTAGATAATTTTCTAAGTTGGAAATAGTCTTCGACTGAAAAGCCTTTGTACTTCGACCGAAAAGCTTTCTATCAACAACAAGTAATTTTGAATCTGAAGAAAGGAGGGAAAGGCAGTTCACTTGGCAGCTGAGAAAAGCGACGTGGCATGAAGATAGAAGTCGAAGCACATGCAGAGGACACTTGTCCTCATCATGGAACGAGGCAATTGTTCGACGGTTACTTAGTTTTAGTATAAATATAGGGATTTTATGTAGATTCCCGTGTGTTCAACATATGGTACAAGTCACTCAATCTTATCCAAGTACCCACTGTGAGAGAAAAGATATTGAGAATGTACGTTTAAAACACCATCTTTTATTTCAATCGAAGTCTTTACAATTCATTTACATTCCTTGCCATTTACATTCCTTCGCAAACTTTATCATTACTGCAAATTTACTTTATTCTACCCTTCACTTGCACTTCTTATCATTTTTAACCTTTATCCTTAAACTCTTCTCAACCCTTTCTACTTACCTTTTACTTGCACTTTTATCAAGTTTTTGCCTGCATCTTACCTTTACTCTTAATTTCCCTTTCAACCCTTTTCACTTAAAATTACTTACATGCAAATAACTTAGCATATGTCCTAGGATCAATTTGATTGATCCTGCAAGTAACTAAAATAACCATTTTTGGAAGATCAACGGTTGTTTATCAATTTTCACGGTAAACAGGGCGATGGCGGGGAGTGATGGTTTCTCCCCCGTCGGGCGTCGTTGTCCCGTCGAAGGGAAGGTCTCCTCTGCTGCTCTCTTAGTTTGGGCGACTATGATCGGTCGGGGTCGACCCTGTGGTCGCTCTCGGTCTTCTTGGAAGACAGGGAGCCTTGGTATTTCTTGGAAGACGTACGGCCGTGTTTCTTGCAGAAAGAAACATCGTAATTCTCTCTTATTGGTGGACGACCACGCCTAGGTGGTGATAAACTGGGGGAGTCACGTCGTCAGTTTCTCCAAGGAGGAGATCATGACAATTTTTGCTCCCAAGCCCCCATCTTTTTGCTCTGTTAGGGGATGAGGGTGTTGGTCTAATTAATGGTAGTGATTAGTGCTGCTATGGCCGGGTCGGCGTTCTGCAGAGCGGGGACTGGTTGCAGAATCTATGGCAGGTCCTCGACAGGGTTCTTGGTGTGTTGTCCATCCAAGAGCTGCTCGTTGTCACGTTCAGCGTCGATTGAATCCGAGGACGCAGTGTGCCCGTCAAACGTCAAAGTCATCCTCGAGATGAAGATGTTCTTGGCTTCCGTCGGTCTTGCATGCCGGAGAGAGCACAGTCTTTCCAGATAGATGGTGATCATCATGATCGGCTATATTTGATGAATGAAAAGGATCTTTGGTTTTCAGATTTCAGGGACAGAAAATGGGGAAGATAGTTTTCCACAGACGGCGCCACTGATCTTACCGGTTGATCAGAACCTTCAAAAATCACTTAAATTTAAAAAAATCACTTAAATTTTCAAAAATTACTTAAATTTAAAATCACTTAAATTTAAAATCACTTAAATTTTCAAAAATCACTTAAATATTCAAAAATCACTTAAATTTAAAAAAATCACTTAGATTTAAAAAAATAAGTTAAATTTAAAAAAAATCACTTAAATTTTCAAAAATCACTTAAATTTAAAAAAATCACTTAAATTTTCAAAAATCACTTAAATTTAAATCAGTTAAATTTAAAATCACTTAAATTTTCAAAACTAAGTGATTTTCAAAACTAAGTGATTTTCAAAAATCACTTAAGTGATTTTTTAAAATTTAAGTGATTTTAAATTTAAGTGATTTTTAAAAATTTAAGTGATTTTTTTAAATTTAAGTGATTTTTGAAAATTTAAGTGATTTTTTTAAATTTAACTTATTTTTTTAAATTTAAGTGATTTTTTTAAATTTAAGTGATTTTTGAAAATTTAAGTGATTTTAAATTTAAGTGATTTAAATTTAAGTGATTTTTGAAAATTTAAGTGATTTTTTTAAATTTAAGTGATTTTTGAAAATTTAAGTGATTTTAAATTTAATTGATTTAAATTTAAGTGATTTTTGAAAAGTTAAGTGATTTTTTTAAATTTAAGTGATTTTTGAAAATTTAAGTGATTTTTGAAAATTTAAAATTTAAAAAAAGTTACAGTAAAAAGATAAAATATGTAAAACATTTTTTTAAAAATTATTTAAACCAACTAGTTAAGAAAATTTATTGATAATTGTAATTAATATGTTAATGATATGAATATTTATTGATTCATATATGTAACAAAGAAAATGTATTGGTAAAAAATTTTTAACTTTGAATTAACACTCAATTATAAAATATTAATATAAATGCCATATAGAATTAAAAATTAAAAATTAATTAAAAATGACAACTAATCAAGCCATGTCATTAAAATATAACAAAAATATAAGTCACATCAGCCTTTTAGGTGATGTGGCATCCTCAAGGTAAAAACTGAAACTTTTAAAATTTATCAAGGTAACAATTGGAACTTTTTTTTTTGCAGGGAGTTTTTCAAATACACCAGGGGTGAAAATAGGTATTAACCCAAATATTTTTATCAAAAAGATGTCTTTTAACCAATTCAATAAACCCTAGCGCCATATATATATATATATATACCTAGCAAACCAAAGGTGGAGCTAATCCTAATTGAGTAATGGCAGAGTTTGAAGTATTACCAGAAGCGTGCATTGCGTCCATACTCTCTTATACTACACCAATTGACGCGTGCCGGCTCTCTCTCGTTTCTAAAACTTTCCGTTCTGCAGCCGACTCCGACACTGTCTGGAACAAATTTCTCCAGTCTGATACTCCACTTATGGATCATGTCATTAAACATTCTCCTACCCTTGCCAACTTCTGTACAAAAAAGGCTCTCTATATGTTTCTATGTGATCGCCCTACTACCCTTCATCATCGTCATAAGGTATTATTATTCACGGAGTTATTGTTATGCAAATTATTGGTTAGTTGCTAATACTCCTTTAAATTCAGAGCTTTCAATTGGTGAAAAAGAATGGGAAAAGGTGTTTCATGCTTTCTGCCACTTTTCTAAACTTTCTTTGGAGTTATCCTACGGAAGTAGAATGGACTTCCCTGCCTGATTCTAGGTTTATATATTCTTAACTTTTCTATTATTTATGTAATAACAAAAATATCATTTGAAAAAAAAAAAATTATATGTTGTAATCTTTGCAACTTTTGGACAGATTCTCTGAAATAGCTCAGCTTCGAAATGTGTGTACGCTTCAAATTCATGGTGAGATAAACACCACTTATTTGTCCCCAAATACTTGGTATGCGGCTTACCTAGTGTTCAAGAAGGCTGATGTCTGGGTAGTTGAGCACAAACCTGTGGAGTTTGTAGTTAGTATCCGAAGTGGCCATCATGTCTCGATGGATCATTATTTTGATGATCAATATGTGGAAGGGCAATGTTCTAGGGTGAGAGGCGATGGATGGCTGGAGACAGAGATGGGGTTGTTCTATAATGCACCCAAAACAGATGAAGACATACATATGAATGTTTATCAGATTAAGGGTTGTAATTGGACTATCTCTCTTGAAGGAATAGAAGTTAGGCCGTATGACAGTTAAGAAACTTTGTATCTTGGATGGTGGTAGAACAATGTTTGAAGATTTGAAATTCCAACTTTTCAAAATATATGTGTTGATTGTTCTAAATAAATTATATTTTGTCACATTGTGATGCCATGAATTTGAAGCATACGCATTACATTTTAAAAGTTTGATAACTACATGCTAAAAACAAAGTCTGTCATCTAATGGGACATATATTAACCCAAACAAAGTCTTTTTTAAACTATCAACAATATCATTGGCCATGTTTGACTTAGTCTCTTCTCCATGTTTGACTTCAAGTGCTTTAGATCTCCACTCTCCCTTGTTAGATTCATCTGGTCCCGCTCTGAACCCTTTTGCAACTTCCGCATATAACATTCCCACTCTTCTACCGTTTTGACCCTCGCTTAGTGTGATTCGTTTTGTAATCTTATCGCTCCCTCTGTGTTGTTTAGATTTGAGCTTCGATTCCTTCAACCTATCATTGTTAGTTGAGGTTTCTCTTCTGTTAGGTCTCGAGAATCTGGATACGTTAACCCATACCTTGTAGGACCCAAACCAGATGTCTTTCAGTTGCTCCTCAATCCAGGTTGCATCTTGTATGCCACCATATCTAATGAAACCAAAGATCTTACCCATCTTGTTCCTTTTACTTGCTATGTAGACGTCGATCACCTTACCCCACCGTTCAAAAGTTCTCTCCATCTCTCTTTCACTTATGTCTTCTGGGAGATTGTTGACATAACATGTTATGGTTTCCTTGTTGTCTATGTCGGTCTTGTCGTTGCGATTTCTTGCCGGTCTACGCATCCTCCTTCTTCTTGGACTTACGAAGGTCCATCCATCTTTGACGTTCTCTCTGCCTCTTTCATTCTCTCTGCCTCTCACGCTCATGCCTCTCACACTCATGCCTCTCACACTCATTACATCCCCCTAAGTGGCTCACCAACTTTTTTATTTCAAAAAGTGACCATTAAAAATGAACGGAAGGAATAAATCTTGACAAGCACAAACAACTTATAATTTTCCCTTAAAAGAATTGTGACCGATTGTGACCGACCCCACCCCACCGTTGTTGACGTGATCGTCACTCTTGGTTTTATAGTGCAGAGCAATTTGGATTCTTATGGTTTTGATGATATATGGTGATATTTGCAGCACTCTAACACAATCTTTGGTTTGTGGAAAAATTTCTGCTGAGTTAGATTCACATGCTTGTAAGATATATGTTCTGACACCCAAAATCAATTAATTTCTTGTGCCAGAGAAGAAGATAAACAGTAGTCATTGTTCCTAATGGGAAACGACAAATAAAGCAACAACACATTATTTTTCACCTAGAAATATGCTTCATAAATGTACAAGTTATATTGTCAATCAACTTCTAAATGTATTTGCAATTAAAGGTATTGTTATCCACACTTGATACTGATGCAATAAGTTTTTCAAATCTCATTGTCTCTAAAGCAAAAAGTAAACCTTGGCTAGTACATTAAATGTAATGAAGTGAAGAAGTGACTAGTGTCTTGACCCCAAACAAGATCTACTATAATGAATGATCATTGATGATTAATATCTAAAACGAAACATTCCTCAAACATGAGAGTAAACATGAATCTAAATTGTATGGATAGAAATTGTTTTGCACAAGACAAACATACCACGAACAACATTTATCATGGTCCTCGCATCTTCTCAACAATGTGCCTGCTCTTTTCTTCAATATGACGTCTTTTCTCTTCCAACTTCTCCCCCATTTTCTTCCCCAAACCTAACATCCTTTCCTTTCTCCCCATTTTCTTTGGAAGTCCATCTTCATGGTTAAAGGTATAATTTTGTTTCTCCACCACCACCATACTTCCATGTGGTGAGAGGATTTCTGAATTATTTTCCATCTTGTTTTCACTAGTTTCGAGTTGATCGTCATTCTTTAATGAAGGTTCTTTCAAACCCCTAGTATCTTGTGGTTGTTCATTCTCTAATAAAGGTATTGTCAATTCTTCCAAGCGGTTGCTGTTCTCCAGAGTTTGTGAACCAGAAGAAGTTGTTGGAAGTGCTAAAGAATCTGATGATTTACAAGTTGGTTCTTGACTAGATTCGACACTCTTCTTCGGTTTTTGTTGTTTGCTCGCTTGACCATTAGTTGAGGTGCTTGCACTAGCTTTTGACCTAGCTTCCACTCCACCAGAAGATTGCTTATTGGTATTAATTGAAGTGGAATTCTCATTCCTAGATTCTTGGTTAATCCATATGAATGGAGCAACATTTGAAGGAACCCAATCTTCCTTTTCTGCTAACATCCATGGGATACATATGTTTTCACAATTTGGGAGAACTATATTTTCCAAAACTGCTCTCTGCATGAGCGAGGTTAGATTAGCTTACAGTTAGAAGCAACTTTTATAATCCTTTCTACAGAGAAATGAAGTTTAAACATATTTCATAGCCTACTGAAGTGTGTACTGAAGATTGAGGATGTCAACAATCTTGCCAAATGCATAATAACTATTTGATGCATACATAAACATGGACATCTCAACAAAAGAACTTTGTTAAAAAGATGTACAATGAAAAATAATATTAATAAAGCCTGATTTTTATGGTTACACACTTAACTGAAGGGTAGACATTTGTAGTGAGAGAACATTTTGGCAAGTAAAAGAAAGAGAGCAGTCTTTAACTAAAATTGTTGAAATTATAAATCGAATGGAAAGAGAGCTATCATACCTTTAGCCTATTGACTACTAACGAAGAGAAGTACCCAGTAGTTATCTTGTTTTCTCCAACAGAAGACTCCAAGTTGAAATCTATGTCTGGCATTGATGTGAAACCATACCACAGTTGATCAGAGGGAGGTGGTTTTATATGCAAACGCAGTGTCCCTTTTAGGGATGCTACTTTTATTGCCAAAGAGAGAGGAACCTTTCGATAAGAAATCATCCATTACTTTGAGAATAAAACAAGGTTAGCTGTTTATAAGCTGATAGGTATAGAAAAATAAAACATCTGCACATTTTAAAATATTTAAATGTGTATGTGCGTGAATGCATAAGAAAATTCTCAAGGCCAGCATTTGCAATATTCAGAAGTATTCAAATGGGGTAAATCACTATTCAGTGCATGCGCAAAACAGAGACGAGTGCATGTGAAGATAACATGCATAGCTAATGTCAAATATTCACAGGTGCACGTTAATCATTTGAGTCATAAGGAAATGCATATATGTATACCAAAACATAATAGAAAAAAAAATGTCAAACTTTTAAATAGCTGTTGAGTCCCACCCACATTAGATAGTGATATGGCTCAAATAGTGATTATAATTTAAGTTAGGGTCGCCAAATTATAAGATGGTATCATAGTTTATCTTAGATATCTTAGACCCGTTCAACCACTAACGGGCCACTGGAGCCACACTCCAAATGTTGGTCCAGGGTGTGAGGGAGTGTGTTAGAAATTTTATAACTATAAGTGAAAATAGAAAATATTTTTCAAACCAAATATATCCTTAAATTGGCCTCAATGAAATTTTACAAAACCCATGCAAATACCGCCTCTAGTTTTGTATTATACAAAAACCTCCCTTGAGGTTGACTTTTCATGGATATATCTGTATGAAAAGATTTTGCATGACACAAGTGTCTGGGAAACATTGACAAAGAGGAGGTATCAATACAATGAAAAGATACTGAAAGGAAATTCAGTATATTTTCCAACATCTGAAGGGCTTTCGGTAGCTTAGTGTAATTTCCTAAGGTATATATGTCACACATCAAAATATTGAGGGAAAACACATTTGGTACACAATATGTTTAAAATAGAAGAAGTTTAGGGACTGCAAAAAGTGTAGTAGGAATAAGCAATGAACAGAATAATGGAGAGAGTAGTAGAGAGTACCTGTGAAACTTGTTTGGCAACAGAATTTAACACTGATTTCCATCGTGGTTCATCATTTGAGGAAGAAATTGTGCTCTTAAAGCTCTTTGATGCATCTGCTTAGGGAAAAACAAGATTCACATTACTCCATCGATCTAAATATGAAAACTATCTATCTCCACTTCACATTTTGAAAGTTTATGAAAGCAGAACTAGAAACAATTGTTTAAGTATCCTCTAGGAAAACAGAAAGGAGAAAACTACAGTGAAAACCACACAATTCTCCATGTACCACTCTACCTGTAACCTTAGTTATAAAAACGTGTAAGTTCCAGTAAAAAATAGATGTGGGACCAAAAGGAAGTCAGGTTTCAGGAAGAAAAAGGATAATAAAAAATTGGGTTTGATAAAACTCTGATAAAGTTCATAAACTATTGGAATAGATACAACCTCACTAAAAAGTGCATAAAGAATTGGATTTTTTTGGGATTTATTTACTAACCGTTGTTCCGGTTACGATCTTCCTTTTGCTCTTGAAAATCATTATCTCTTCCTTCAAGTTTCAATTGCTTTTCTAAATATTCAAAACCTTCAAGAAGATCTGATGGGACAGCTCCATCATTGCTTGGCTCCGAATTTGAGTCTTCTGACTTTGTTTGGAGCTCAAGTTCACAAGGTTCAAGCCTTGTTTCAATCTCTAATACTGCTCCTCCAGAATATTCAATGTCAACTTCTAAGGCCCAAACCTCACTCATTTCCATAGGAAGAACCCTCATTCCTACAATACAAGGTGGAACATTCCCAGTATTGATATCAGTGCAGATGATTTCACCAATATAACTGGGAGTCCTCATATTTGACAATGTTCTCTGTGGCAAGAAGAAAGAAAGAAACAACCATCATTTTTCTAATAGAAAATATAATGAAATGTAGTTTTCTAGGCTGTTGTTCTCTGTAAACAAACACTAGAGATTTTTAAATGGAATCAACGCTTACTTTCTCCATTCACTACAATAAAAAACAAGAACAAAGGGATATGCTCCTTTTTTATCAGGTTGATTTGATGGGATATAAACCTATCCTATGACCCGATCAGTAAAATTTACAAAACCACTCCACAGAGACATTTCGAATGATAGAACATTTAAAGTTGAAGTCTTAAACTTAACAAAGTCCATCTTGTAGCTATAAACAGGAGTTTTTGGAACTACTAACAATGCAAAAAGGCTTTAATATAGAAGATATAATAGCTTGCAGTATCATGTTTTCAGCATAAAATTATCAATTCATACAACAAATATTTGATAAATAGCTAGAAATTGATACCAAAATAAAATGACGCCCATTTTCACTAAACAAACATAATAAAAACAGCCTCGTGCAAAATCATTTAAATGTCAAACGGGAAAGGTTAAACCTGAATCCTTTCTTGCAAAGATCTCTTCAACTGCATGCTGCCTTTGACATCAAAAAAGAGTCGGGAAATCAATAAATTCCAGCATAATGTTCCCTCATCAATATCAAACTTCTTTCCAACATCCCTTTCGGAGCTGACAGAATGAATACTCTCACTTCCCAAATTCGGTAACTTCAAAGATAATGGGGTAGCATTGTCTGCCAAAGAGTTTTTAAGATGCTTTGATGTTGAATCAGTTCCCAAAACTGCATCTTGGCTAGCAAAATGGTTCTCAGTGCTCTTTTTTCCTTCATGGCCGGACAATGAAGTCCATGTAGATTTATTTTCCAAACCTACTCGGGAAGTTTTTTTAGCGATCTTTTTCAAAAACTGACGAACTTTTGAGGAAGGATCGTCAGGCTTTATATCCCTTTCTATTGCCTCAACACTTAATCCTACTGATGGTTTCATAAAACAATGATACACAGAATTTAAGGATGTCAGGTAACTATGAAAGTCCTCATGCACCTGGGTGAACCATTTGATTTTTTCTTTTTCTTCAGATGAAGCCAGATAAAGGGCCTTACACCATGCTTCTTTTTCCCATGAAGTTTCCAGATACAAATATAGAGTTTTACTTCCATTGTATATTGCTGAGGTCTTGTTTTCCACTTTGATGGGAAACTTTTTTGCCCTGTTAGATTCATCACCAATTTGTACCAAAAAGACAAAAATTATTATTATTGGAAAAAATAGAAGTCCCACATAGGATAAAGATGGCATCCCTCACTTTACAGACTGGTTTTGTAAGAATGAGTTACTGGTTTTGTAATAATGAGTTAGAAACAAATAAAAAATTCTAATTATCATCAATCAAATAAGAACTCAAAGTACTTAATTTCCTTGATAAATGACCAGTTGTTAAAACAAAATTTAAGGGTTTATTTATTTTCAGAGAATGTTCAGTTTTCAATGAGTGTAAAACAGCTTTCTTCTCACTTCCACAAATTCATCATATGCTCATTTTTCACTTTTGATTTTATGAGTGTAAAGAAGCTTTCTTCTCACTGCCACTAATTCATCATATGCTTAGTTTTCATTTTTGGTTTTATAAGTTTAAAGCAGCTTTCTTATCACCACCAATCCATCGTCTGCTTATTTTTCATTTTCTTCACCATATGCAGATTGTGAGTTACAGTAGCCTTTTTTTGGAATTGGTAAAAAGGACTTTTTAGTATTATCAAAATTTTCAAAAATACTGATTTTACATTCTGAAATTTACATTGAGAACAGTTGGATAAACACATTTTTACTTTCATTATTTATCTTAGAAACGAAAATGGTAAATTTTGAAAGTAAGCGGGGCCTAATATTTCCAATTTTTTTTTGACATGATACCGAAAATCCTTGCTATCAAAAGCTACTTTTGTTTAAGGTATGCAATGCTCAAAAGATGAGATTTCTGTGTCAAATTAAATACCAGCGAAGTCTGCAAATTATTTTACATTCTGAGCATTGAGTCATATGTTAAATCAAAATATATGCACTTGGACTACAACTCTAGCCACTATGGTAATTCTTGCTACCTGTTAGACGACTTTGTCACTTCTTTTTCTCTACATTCATCCTAGAATGTTGCATTCATACATAAGAGAAAAATTAAGGGAACTAGAAGAATCTAATAAGAGTAAAATGATGGTCATAACTGTGAGATGGCATTACCATTTTTTTGAAGAAAGGTTTGAAGCTGACACGGCTTGAACTGTACAACTCTTGAGTTCAATTGTTGAGTGGGACTGCAAACCATCAGGTTTTCTTAGAATAAGTGACTCACCCTTGATTGTTCCATACAATTTAATAGGTGAAACCTCCAATAACCCTTTCCTTTTTGGTTCTTTTGGAATTTTTCCAGATTCAAGGACCCAGACCACACCCTGAAAGCCAAAACTATTATGATAAAGAGTTTAATAATAAACAATAAGAAAATTTTGTTTGTTCACTATTTTGGTAATCAAATACATAGGGCCTGTTTGAATGGCCTTATTTGAGCTTATCTAATGCCATAAATTTTGTGATACAAGTTTTGCGACACTGTTTGGGAAATTTAATCAAAATAGTTTTTGACCTTTTTTATAAAAAAATTTAAACTTATTTCTATAAATTCTTCAAGATAGCAATGAAAACAACTTATATATAAAAACAATTTATATTTATTTTATCTTCTGTAAGAAAAATAGTTTATATGCGAGCTTATTTTGATAAGCATTTGTGCTATAAGCTGCAAATAAGCTGTTTATCCAAACAAGTCCATAATCGTGTATATTCTGGTTTCACTTCTGCACAAGTCAAATTTGGTTTCAGAGACGTAGAATTGATTATGACATGTTTAGATCTATCTAAGTGTGTGTTTGGATTGGCATTATACACAATTGATTTTGACAAAATTAAACTTGATATAATTGATTTTATTTATGTTTAGATACATTTATGTAAAAGTGAGTTGAACAACAAATTTCAGTATAAAAATCACGTTTAATTTAAACTCAGAAGCTACAAATTCTAACTCCAAGCAAAATCAATTCTGAAGGTAGAATCAATTCTACTTTAAAAGAACCAAACACATCAAAATCACTTCAGAATCTATTATACACCTCTACAACGTCCAGAATTGATACTAACTTAAACTAGGAATTTTTTTTTCTACAGTAGATTTTATCCCTCAACTCAGTTCTACCAAATTAAGTCACTTTACCAATCAACTCGTTACAAAATCGACTAATTCAAAATCAATTTTGTTCACTCACACACACACACACCGCCCTCCCTAACTTGAAGAAACTTCAAAAAGCATTTCTAACTTTCAGTATTTTACAATAACAATCACAATAACACAACACGAGTGAGAAAAAAAGGGAGGAAATCGGAGTTTGAGTTTGAGTTGAGAATAGACCTGCTTGTGAGACGCAAAATGCAGAGATTGTTGATGATCAAGCTGGTTTGATTCAGTTTCCAGTTGAGCTTGTTCGACATGAAGCTCATCGCTGCGGCGTAACCGTTTGATGATCCATAACAGTGCCAGAGCTTGAACGGCAACAACAGCCACCACACCGAAACCAAACCCGAGCAAAATCGAACCCAAAAACGAAGGCATTTTGATCTTTGAGGCAAAGAAAGTTAGTTACAAGTTACTAGTATAGCATTGTGATGTAGAATAGAAGGAGAAAAGGAAAACGGTCCCTACACGGAATGAAAGAGGAAGAAAACGTGATGTCAAAAAAGGAAGCAAGCGCGTTGATACATTCACAATTTTTTTATCTTTTTTTTTTTTTTTGACTCAATTAGTCATGTCTCGTAATGACTCCACATGTTGTGTCTATTTTCAGAATAAAAATTAACTAAATTGATGTAGATAAATAAAATAATTCCTGATTATACGAAGTTAAAATTATGAAACGATAAACATTCTAGTTCAACTAGTCAATACAATTAAGTTTTAACTTGTTCAAAAAAACTTGTAAGTTAACACTAACGATTATATTATTAATTATTATTAATATTATTTATAAATAAGAAAATTAATACTATCTAACAATTTTTTTAATTAAAAATATTATTTAATTTTTTAAAATTATTTAAAAGATTATATATTTTGTGTAATTTATATTATTAATTTTTAGGATTAAATTGCATTTCTCTTTGTGATTTGTGTTTCTTATTTATTTTTATTATACATATTAAGTTTAATTATTTTTATAAAAAAACATATAAATTTTGATAAATGAAAATAATATATTTTTATATTAATTAATTTTATAAATGTTTGTAACGTTTTTATTTTAAAAATTAAGTCTTTAAAATCAGCTACTAATGAATTTAACATAATACAAGATTTGATTAAAAATGTAATTTCTATTAAATAAGACAGTGCATATGTAAGATTGGTTTTTGATGAACAAGTTAAGGAATAAATGGTTTAAGAATGAAGATGGGATTATAATGTCTTTTTCACAACACAATTAAATTAAGATATGTGTTAGAAACAAAATCATTAAATCAAGGCATAGCAAAAATTGAACGAGGACATTGAATTAGATAATCATGTTATTAACTTCTACATAAATTTGTTTAATTAAGAAAACAATTGTAGTTATATTGATCTGGTTGAGAGAACTATCAAACAACTTATAACTCATGTAGATAATGAATATCTCACTAGAATATTTCAACCTAAGGAAATTTATAATGTAGTGTACGATATAGATGGTAATTCTGATCCAAACAATGATAGCTTTGGAGGATGCTTTTTCCAAGCCTATTGGGATAATAGGGACTTATGTGATTAATTTAGTGAATCAATTCATTGAATAAGGTTGGATTTTTCCTAATCTCAATTCAATCAATATGATTTTGATACCTAAAATATGGATTTATGTGCTTGCATGTAGAACATCTAAAGCGATCTGTTTTTTAAGGGTTGTTGGTTCAGATGATGAAAAGTGAAGTTATCGTCTAATGAGATCAAGTGGTGGTGCTTGAAGATCAAGGTGTCATCTGATATGATGATCAACTAGTGGTGCTTGAAGATCAAATGTCATTTGTTTCGATGATCAAGATGTGCTCAAGATATCAAAGCTCAATTATTGTGATCAAGTTATGATCATGTTTGTTGATTAGAGATCAATTTTCAAGTTGTTAAGTAGCGTTTGGTGAAGTCAACAAAGATCTATAATCAAGTTGTTTGTCTGATGTTGGTGGTTATCTTGAAAATTTATCTCAAGCTTCATCAGAAGAAGATTCAAGGTTCTAATGAAGTGGTAAAGTCAAAGATAATGTGGTAAGAAACTAGAGACTTCAGAGTTTTGGAAAAAATGAAGAGTGAAAGCACGATGAGTTTGTGTCGAGTGATCAGTGTTTGTAAAGGTATGAAACTAACTCTCGACTTTACTAAGGAAAATTACACAGGCACTTTCAACCTTTTGAAAAGCCTCTCTTTTTACTAAAATCACCCAAAAATGTTTTTGTGCCTAGCTAATTGGCTAGGAACTCAAAAATTTCTTATGAGGTCTCTTATGTTATATATAATCAATTAGCCCTTAGACAAAATCAATTATTCCTTTGTGTGACCCCTCTTAATCAACTATTCAAGTCAATATTCTATTAGTAACGACTTAGAAACCTTTCATTTTTTACTTGATAATCGATTATGTGGATAGTGTTGTATCCCAAAATTTGCCCTCTCATTTCTCAAGAAATCTCTCATAGGATCTCCATTGATTCAAGACTACACAAGGTTTGATCAGCTCAAGACACCTCCTCAACACTGACAACTCAAAATTAGGGTTTGAGTTTTTACAAGGACAATTGAATTTTCAAGGCCTCAAATGACTTTCATGGATCATTAGGAACCTTCAAGATTGCTCATGTCAAGTTTCAAGTCTTAGATCACAAAATTGCTCAGTCATTTGATCAAATGACCTAAAATCAGCTGTATTGGATAAAAAGTCAAATGTGGTCAATTTACAGTCAAACTTCATAATTTTTTCCCTTCTATATGGGGCCTTATACTTTTCTGACTGCGAATCTATCTTGGTTTCTAAGGAACTCGATGGAAAGCGATTTTTAATCTTTTCTTTACTGCGGTCCTCCTTAATCACATTATTTCCTCCCTTAGGCATTTTTACTGGTTTTTCACTACTGATTATTCTAACATCTTCGTGCCTCTTTGTGGAGAGTCCTAAAGGTGCATGTCCAAGCAGTGATATTTTTGTTTCCAATTTCTTGTTGCTAATTACTAGAGACTCGACTACAGTATTTAGCTGCCTAAGGGTTTCATTAATGTGAATAATTTGGTTTCTAAATTCCTTATTTTGGATGGTTTGTGTTGTCAGAAACCTCCATGTCATAGATCCTAGCCTAAAGAGGGTTTGCGTGTTAACAAAGTTCTCTACTAATATTTCGTGGTTTGATTTATAAGGATGTTATGGTCCCTTGAAATAGTGGTAATTGTAGGAAAAATTGGGTAATCCATTTAAAGGTGTGCCTTAATCTAAATGGTGTAACAACGAAGTTGCGATATTTCACATAATTAGTCATCGATAACGGCGCCAAAAACTTGATGGGATATTTCGCAAGTGCACAAAAGTGTCTAAGTAATATAAAGAGTTTTGAACCCACAAAGACCTAATAGTAAAGCTATCATTATCTATTTCTACCGTGTTTATCTAAGGTAAATAATAATAAGTGTTTTGAGTTGTGAAGACAAAATAATGAACTTGAATTAATTAGTAGTAATAAAAATTAGAATGCGGTTGAATTAAGAATAGAAAAGAAAATAAATTCAGTCTAGTGATGCTAGAATGTGATTCTCATCAATTAATGATACTCTTATTATTTCTAAATAGGATTTCTAACGGGACAATATTTTCTACCTTGAAAAGAATTAATTAAACTAGAATTATTGCTTTTGCATATTCAAAATCGAATCTTACTCCTTAAATTATACTGTTTCACTTTCACTGTGGTAGGCGTTTTATGCGTTAAAGTAGTAACTCTTATTTTAAGAATTTAAATTTTGTACTTAGTTGAAAAGTAATTTAGATTAGAAATTTTAACTTAAAAGGGTTTCAGGCTTTCCCTTAGGTAACCAGATCGTAAACCTATAAACGCGCGCATTCGTAAATTGTTTTAAAATCACTTTCTAGAAATATTACACACTCCTAATTAATTAATAAAATGATTTTGCGATATTTATTAACCAAAAATAAACTAATTATATACTTTAGTATCATACGACTTTTGATCTTACCCGACGTTTTCACTGCCCCACTTCTCTAGTGACAGATTAAAATTAAGTGCAAAAAAATTACATTAAAACCAAAACAACTCACAATTGAAGTCCTAAAGAAATAACCTACAAGGTACCACCAAATGATGATCTTCATATCCTAACATTAATAAATTAGCCTGACATAGTGTTTCCAGTGATTTCTGGTAAACAACCGCTAGTCTTCCAAACTATCGAATAATCTTTCTGACTGTTATTCAATTCCTCTGGTAACTCACAGGATCAACTAGATTGATCCTAGGATTCCTTGGACATTAAGGTTACTCTCACGATCGAACAGATATTCATGGTTGATATTTGAGTGTTGTATATGCGTTTGGCTTATTTCGATTTCTCTCTCAAAAAGTCTAAAGATGTAATCAAAATGTGCGTGTACGAAACTAAGTTGCATGAATAAATGTTAATTGTAAAGACATGTAAAATTGCATAAAAGTCAAGTAAATGGTTTCGAATTATAAAACAGTTAATGTAAAGGATTTCTGGAACGTAAAAGGTTTGAAATATGAAGAAAGCGTTTAATGCAAGAAATCTGTAAATGACTTTAAGTAAAAATATGCGTTCGAATGATAAGACTTGAAGGTAAAGGTATGGAAAATATGACAGTTTTCTGAGATGTAAAGTGCTTGAAATGTGAAGAAAGCATTAAAATGTAAAACTTTGAAGAAGAGATTTCGAAGTGAAAAGACTGTAAATGAGAAAACTTGTAAATGTTACTTGACAAAAAGATAAAGGAAAGTGCTGGAAATGGTAAAAGGTTTTCATTAAATCAGAAATACATGGTGCTATCATACGTACATTTCTCTTGCATTCGTTTCCCTTGCCATGTGGTAGTTTGAATGTTACTGAGTATTTAGTACAATAGATATGACACACGAAATCCTAATACTAAGACTTCTATTTATACTAATTCGATCATAACGGTCTTGCTATAGGATTATGCCACGTTCAGAACATGCAGAACAATGCCTCTTTCTTCTTTCCACGTGTCCCCAAATGCTCCAGCACATAACTTTCAAACTTCGAATGTCCCGCTTCCATTTGAATTTCAAATGCTTTGGTACTTCTCCGTTTCGAACGCACTTCCCAGACACAACCTTGTTGTTATTTCGAGACTTCTTTAGATATGTTCCCATAATTGCCACTCGAAGCTCCAAGCTTTGACATGCTTATTCGAAACACTGCTTCTGCTACTTCGAAACATGACGCTTTACCTCATTTCGATCGAAACGTTTAATTCATTTGGCTTCTAATAACATTATCAAAATCTTCAGCCAACAAATTGCCCCTTTAAAATATGTATTTCGATT